TTTTTATGTGATCCCTGTTGCAGAATAATCTGTGTTACTCAGAGGGATCATGCAGCTCATCATTTTTAACATCTAATTTTTTTTAATTAATTCTGTCAACACCTGAAATAAAATCAGAATTCTAGAAAATTATTTGTTCAGTGAATTCAAGTACTGAGCACTTCAAGTTGCTGGTCTTTTTTATGCCATGAACATTTGTTCTGATTAAGATCTTCCTCTTTAGCTAATTAGTTGGCTTTTGAACTTTCCTCGTGGTCCAGTCAGTAGCCCTAGAACAAGACTATATTTATGGTGCAATTTGGTAATCCCAAATTTCATGAGTGAAAAAATTGCTTTGTGTGTAATGCTTTGTGGCCATATCATATTCCTCTTCCCTTGGGTTCTTGCCTGCCTTGCTAACATAAAAAGTAGAAATAAATCACACTTTTTGATGGTTGGTTGTGCAGAAGTTCAGCAGTGCCTTTTTTGTTGTTAAATTGATGATATAGCCTAGCAGGATCCATATTTTTTTCACATTCTGGAGTGATAGCAGAAAAGCATTCCTTAAAAAGTTAGGAGACGTGACATGGGAAATTTTAAGATTAAATTGATCAGAACTCCATTTGACTAGGAGATTTAATTGCAAATCATCAGTGAAAGCTCTGAGAATTATAGAGCTGAGATGTAAGAATTGTTTTTTGATCTTTTTGTGCAGACTTCTCTAATGCAAAATTATAGGCTGTAAATTTTAAAATCACTATTAAAAGATTTATGATTAATTTGAAAAAAAAGTATAGTCAGGTGATACTGTCTGGATATACTTGAAATTAATTATGTAAATATGTTGAATTTATCTTTATATTGAATCACAGGTGAATCTGGATTGGGAAAATCTACATTAATAAACAGCCTCTTCTTGACAGATCTCTACCCAGAAAGGATAATCCCAGGAGCTGCTGGTAAACACACCTTTGTTCTAGTTTCTCTATTCTCAATGATTTTTGGAATTGAATGCTTTTATCTTTGGATTTTAGTAACAGCCAGTAGTGATTTCTAGCTGTAATAATTTCTAATGTATTTTCTCATACTTGAACTGTTTGATTGAAGTGTTTCCCTCTGTACACAGGATTTATATGGGGTCTTTATTGTTTAGTCCTCCAATGTATTCATAATGGTGCCTAGAAAGTCAATCCCTTCTTTTGCTTAAAAAAATGTCATTGTGTCACAGCAAGATAAACAATCAACTAAAACAATCAGAAACTTTCTTTAATTTTTAATCTGTTGCAATTCTAAACATATACATTGTTTATATCTGCTTGGACTTGCAATTTGATTCCTTTACTTTCGGTTGATACTTAGTGAATGTGAACTTCACCTGCTTTTCTTCCTCAGTCCCTTGTCCCTTTTTTATTCTGTTAACCAAGGCATAGAGTAAATCAACAAAAGAGAATATCGTAAGAAAATAGAGGAAGATACTGTTTTTTCCCTTCTTTGCTACTTGTTGAATGACTTGCTTTAATGATTTATCATGTTAGCTCACGATTACTTATCACTTTCAACCTTAGGAAAAAATCTATTACATATAATTTGGTATCATTCTCCAAACTGCTGATTACTTACAGTTTTTTCTCAGTCCCTTTTGCCATAGTTTCTACGTCGTATATATCTCAAAATGACATAGTCTTACAAATTCTATTCTGAAAGATTGTTAAATGTATTTCAGAGAAGATTGAACGCACTGTGCAGATTGAAGCCTCAACTGTTGAAATTGAAGAGCGGGGTGTGAAACTACGTCTGACAGTTGTAGATACACCAGGATATGGGGATGCTATCAATTGTCGAGACTGGTATGTACACAGGGTATATAGTGATCTATATATGAAGACCAACATCCATTTCGTATTTGTCCTGGGCGTGGGGAATAAGTAACTGAAGTGGGACTATATTAATAATGATATGCAGCCCAAAGTAAAGAGACATCAATAACTTCCACACAACTTGAAATAAATTTTGTGACACAGATATTTTGATTTAGTATTTTCCTTAGTTAACTTTATTAAGTTTGGGAGAGTTTTAAGTGAACAGTGACCTTGACTTTTTTTTATAGTTAGAAAGCAACAGAACCATTGGGACACACGAAATTCAACAATACTCTTGAGTCTTAATCTAGTCTTTAGTGCAACTAGAAATCAACCTTAAGAAGCTGTCCATATTCACTTGAGCATTCTCAGGTTCTGCGTTTTCATCATCTTTGGGTTTGATCATTTGGGGTTTTTTTTGAGAAACTTACTTTATAATAAATACTGAGAAATATTCTTGAGATCAATGGCAATCAGTTTTCAGTGGTAAACCCTCTTCCCTCATCTCTCAAGTCCCTGAAACTCAAGGCAAGGACTGGGGAAATAAAGTCCATCCTATTGTAAGTGAAAAGCACGTACAAGACTACCTGAGGAACTTGAACTTGATAAGGGACTTTATTAGTCTATGGGACCCAAGAAGATGCATCCCATCTTGTTGGGTTTTCTATGGCAGATGTAGTTGCCAATCCGCTCTCCACCATATTTCAAAAGTCACGGCAATCAGGCAAAGTCCCTGGTGGCTGGAAAAAGGGAAACATGCCCATTTTTAAATAGGGTAAAATGGAGGACCCTGGAAACTACCGGCCAGTCAACCTTGCCTCCAAGTCCAGTGAGATCATGGAACAGATCCTTCTGGAAGATATGTTGAAACATATGGAAGAGGGGGGGTCATTAGACATAGCTCATATGGTTTCACCAAGGGCAAACTGTGCCTGATTAATCTGGTGGCCTTTTATGATGGAGTGCATAAAGTAAGATACACTGATGTCATCTACCTGGACTTGTGTAAGGCCTTTGATATGGTCCCCCATAACATTTCTGTCTCTAAATTGGAGAGATGTGGGTTTAGTGGACGGACTGTTAGATGGATAAGGAATTAGCTGGATGGCCATGTCCAAAGAGTTACAGTAAATGGCTCAAAGTTTAAGTGGAAACCAACAACTAGTGGAGTCCCTCAAGGGCCGTACTCGGACCAGTACTGTTTATTATCTTCATCAATGGCATACTAGAATTGAGTTCCCCCTCAGCAAGTTTGCAGGTGACACCAAGCTGAGTGGTGCAGTTGATTTACTAGAGGGAAGGGAGACCTGCATTCAGCTCAGGGCCCCCAGCACAAGACAGACATGGACCTGTTGGAGCGGGTCCAGAGGAGGGCCACAAAAATGATCCAAGGGCTGTAACACCTTTCCTGTGAGGAAAGGCTAAGAGAGTTGGAGTTCTTCAGCCTGGAGAAGAGAAGGCTCCAGAGAGACCTTACTGAGGCCTTTCAAGGCTTATTACCAGGGCCTGTAGTAAGTAACGGGGCAAGGGATTTAGGTTGGACATAAGGCAGAAGTTTTTTACAATGACGGTGATGAGATATTGGAACAGGTTGCCCAGAGAAGTTGTGGATCCCCCATTATTGGAAGGGTTCCTGGTCAGGTTGGACAGGGCTTTGAGCAACCTGACCTACTGAAAGATATCCCTGCCCATGGGGGGGTCGTGGCCTGGATGATTTTTAAAGGTCCCTTCCAACCCAAACCATTCTATGATTTAAAATTAGTTAGGAACAAGAAGCTTAGATTACCTTGAGCATGTCAAAAGATAAATACCTAACCCAAAAGAAATTACCTGTAAAAGTTGTGCTATATGTGTGTGTATTTTCTCTTAATATTAAAAAAAATATTCGTAGTAGTTTGTTATTCTGGAATTCAATTACAGTTTTAAAATATGTGCTCTTCTACTCTTACAGTGTTACAGCATCAGTAAATTAATTTTTGTTCATCAGCAGAATGTCTTGGTGTTTTAATATTACCTTTGCAGCACCACTAAGATTATTGCCTGATTGGGAACATGCATGATTTCTTGAATCCATATTTGTTTTACAGTTTTAAGACCATAATCTCTTACATTGATGAGCAGTTTGAGCGATATCTGCATGATGAGAGTGGTTTGAACAGAAGACACATCATAGATAACCGGGTTCATTGCTGCTTCTATTTCATTTCACCGTTTGGTCATGGGTAGGTGTTTCTCTGTCTTTTTATTTTTTAAATGATTTTACTTCGGGGAGTTGGTTTGTGACTGTTGACTTCAGTTTTCAGAATCAGATTGCCATTACTTAAGAAGGTGCTAGAACTGCTGGAATTAATTGGATGTGTTCTTTCCGTGTAAGGAGAGAGATCTACATTGTTGTGAAAATAAATTGGTAATTTAGATTAAAAATAAATTTACCTTTTTTCCATATTTTAATTTTAGCCTTAAGCCTCTGGATGTTGAGTTTATGAAGGCCATACACAACAAAGTAAATATTGTACCAGTGATTGCAAAAGCTGATACGCTTTCTCTGAAAGAGCGAGAAAGACTAAAGAAAAGGGTAGGTATTTTTCTAGTTTGCCAAAAAGTGTTGTACTTAGGTTATAGCAGCACTTTTGCTGAAGAGAGGGGCATTCTCATTTAACCTTACTCTATCCTAGCCAAGAAAATATAATCTCATCCACAGTGTAACCTCTGCTGTGAGGACATTAGAGAGATCTGGGTGTGTTCAGGAGAAGAGAAGGCTCCGGGGAGACCTTGAGCCCCTTTCAGTCCCTAAAAGGGCTCTAAGAAAGCTGGGAAGGACTCTCGATCAGGGAGGGGAGCCATAGCATGAGGGGGAAGGGTTTGATACTGAAAGAGAGGAGACATAGAGGAGGTGTTAGGAAGAAATTCTTTACTTTGAGGGTGGTGGGACACTAGTTGCCCAGAGAAGCTGTGGCTGCCCCATCCCTGGAGGGGTTCAAGGCCAGGCTGGAGGGGGCTTGGAGCAACCTGGTCTGGTGGGAGGTGTCCCTGCCCAGGGCAGGGGGTGGGGCTACATGGTCTTCTGACTCTAACCATTCTATGATTATTTAATATGTAGTTTGATTTCTTGTAAATTCTTTTTATTATTAACTAGGATATTGTCCCTAAAATGTTGCCTGTGAAAAGACAGATTGGCTACATTTACAATTTCATTATCAGTGAATTTTGAAACTTTGGAAAAATATTTAATGCATTTGCTAGTGGTCATTGCTCCCTTACCTGTTTAATCGGTTACAAAGCAGAGATGATAACTGCATCTATAATGCTCATATATTTTTTTACCCAGTCAGAATTCTGATGATTGAAAAATAGGATTTTCAGAGATTTTTTTGATTTGGGGCTTGTTTCTCTTCTCTTGTGTCATCTTCTTCTAATACCTTCCAGTTCTTCCTTCCTTAACACATTCAGTCTTGCAGGAATTGATGCTGTATTTGCCGAGGAGGGAAATTGCAACAAACCATCAGGAGTTAATAACAGCTATGAAATTTAGAAAGAAGTGTTAGAATTGACTTGCCACAAGGCAAACTTCATCCAGTCTTAGCTGGTATATTTAAAACATTATCTATGATTTTTTCAGTTATTCTGAAAATCCTTATAATTCTCTTACCCTATTTACAATAAAAATAGAGAAGTATACTTTAGTTTAATGTACATATTGTGCTGGAATTTTGCAGAAACAAAGATTGATTGATCTATTTTTTTAAAGAGCAAAATTTGGGTTTATGGCAAATGGATTCCAGCTGCAGATGCCATTCTTAGCAGTCATGAAGACAGAATTAAGCATTTACAGTGTCTGTAGCTCAGTTAGGTTTTCTAACACTCCCACCCTTACCCCCCAAATAGTAATTTACAGGCAAGAGCCAGGAGCTTTAGGCTGTTTAAAGCAATTACGGCTTTGCAGTTGTTTTTTAAAAATTATAAAGGTTTAAAAAAAAAAAGGACCATTTCTTATGTGTAATCCAGAAAGGACACTGTTTAATTGAACACTATTGTTTGTCTGAATGTCTGTGGCAAGTAGTTGTTGAATATCATGAAGAAATACCGTGTTTAAAAACTTTCCAAGTAATTTGGATCAGTAAGATAGACCCAAGTTTCTCGAGAGACCGTGTATAACTGATTAAGTAATTTTACCTTAAGATTTAAAAGTATTGACTTTACATGTATATTATCTCAATCTCTTATATTACAAATCACAGATTCTGGATGAAATAGAAGAGCATGGCATCAAGATTTATCACCTGCCTGATGCTGAATCAGATGAGGATGAAGATTTTAAAGAGCAGACCAGACTCCTGAAGGTATGACTGGCTTCATAGGTGGATAATATACTGTGGCTTTTCGAACTGCTCAGATGGCTTTAGAACAAGATACATACTGTGACCTGTGATGAGACCTTGAGTGAGTCACTGTGTCTCTGTCGCCAGGCTTCCCTAATCGTGGTAATAATTACTTTCTTTTTTTTTTTTAACCTTTAAATTAAAAGCATTACCATAATATGCAGTGCTGAGCAGAACAAGAGTTGTTCTTTGAGTTGTCTGTTCTGGTTCCTTATTAATAATTTTTGCATTTTTGGCTTTCAGGCCAGCATTCCATTTTGTGTAGTAGGATCCAATCAACTCATTGAAGCAAAAGGCAAAAAAGTTAGAGGTCGACTCTACCCATGGGGTGTAGTTGAAGTGGAGAATCCGGAACATAATGACTTCCTGAAGCTGAGGACCATGTTAATGTAAGTTAGAAAATTCCAGCTGAATGGTATTTTAAAAAACAATCACCAGGAAGATACTCAAACATTGTAGTGGGGGTTTGGAGCGGTTATGGAGACCCTGGAGATACTGAGAATTTGTCTGGAAAAAGCCATGGGCAGCCTTGACTTAGCTGTCCCAGGCAGGGATTGTACCACATAAGCTCCATGGGTTCTTTCCAATCTGAATTTCCCAGTGATTCTCTGAAAATAATATTTTGTCTAATTCCTTTGTCAAACACAGTGTTGTATTGCTATTCAGATCCACAGGAACATAAAACAGGTTGCTTCACACCTTGTGCTTACTTAAATATATCTATTTGTGGATGTATATCTGCAAAGGAGTAGACTTTGAAAGTCCACTGGTTGATTTTTTTCAGGTTTTGCTACTCTGCTTCCTCTGACCAGCACTGCTTCATCAAACACCTCACCCAGGAGGACAGCTTATGTCAGGGCTGCCTCAGGGTCTGAGATGGTCTCTGTATGTGTCTTTTATTGGACCGATTTGATTTAAATTAGCTTTTAAATTGGCATTTTAAATGGGTGTTCAGGCTGAACACATTGACCCAATGCAGTGCTGAATGTGAGAGCTGGTTAAGCATGCTGATGTGCTTGCTTGTTTTAATTATTTTTCTTTCTCCAGCACCCATATGCAAGATCTTCAGGAGGTGACCCAGGATCTTCACTATGAGAACTTCCGCTCCGAGAGGCTCAAACGAGGCGGCAGGTTGTCATCTTATGGTTACATGCTGTTTCTTCCTCCTCTGAATTTATTTTTTGGTGTCTGTCTCTCCTACCATTTCATTGCTAGGATTTGGTAGATCACAGACAGGTCTGTAGCTCCAGTCAACACCAAGTTCAGCTGACCAGCTTACACTGAGCCTAAGAAAAAGTATTATGTAAATCTGAAGTTGTGACATTAAAAGAGTATGCTTAGATCTCTGTTTTGTTTTAAGGTTTGAACCACAGATTGGAATGTTTCAGGTAAAGAAGTAGGACATGTCTATGATAAATGTTGCCTTCTAGGTTGGTGCTGATATGTTAAAGTTGGTTTGTTTGGGTTTTTTTCCAGAATTAACTATTGGAATATTTGGACTGTGTCTCTAGAAAGAGAAACTCAAGTCATTCTGCAGTGCTTTATTAAATGTGGTATAAATAACTATTTTTTTTTGCATAGCACTCACAGGAAAATGTCTTTCAGCCCTATTTTGAGCTATGGTGGGGAGGGCACATCTTTCCTGGAAAGAGGGACAGGCAGAACACCCCATTTTTAATTAAAATAGCAGGGTTTGTGAATTCTTGTTGAAAACTGGGTGTTTCCTGGTTTAGATTTTTCAGCTGCGTTTCTTATGTCAGCCACTAGAGAGTTTCATAATTGCACATTTCAGTGGGTTTCGTATGTTTTGCAAAGTTTTTTCCATCATGCTGTTCTGAGACATTTCTAGTCAGTTTTTAGGAAAAGGAGTTTGTCTCTGCCCATAGCATTGGCCTACAAGTCCAGATTTCCCTTCAGGCAAGATGACATGTTCTTCTCCCCTGACTTTTAAATCCTATCTTGGGAAGTTCAAGCTGAAAAAAAAAAAAAAATTGTCAAGTTCTGCTGCCTGTTATATAACAGATACGTACAGAGGTCTTAAAAGAAATGTAACCTAAGGGCATCCAGATTGAAAATAATGTTTACTGATTTTTAGCGGATTTAAATTTGCCTCTGCTGGGAACCTGTGACAGTAAGTTGCTGCTAAGTTGGGGTACCTTTTTTTGTGAAACTAAAACATGTTTTTGTATCTTGTTTAGTTAAGTGGCCTATATGTCTTTGTTTTGGTATTTCTGAAGTGCTGCTAGGACATAGTTAAGTTTCCTGTACGTGAGGGTAGTTTGCTTGTGAATTTATTTCAAACTTGAATCTACCCCACTGGCAGTTCTTGGCAATTAGTGCTTGTTGACTGTATTCACTGATGTTATTAGAAACTTTTGGGCACAGAGGATTTTTGACAATCTATTTCTGTTAACCTTTAAATGAGCACCAGTTTGTTTGCTTTGCACTTTTGATGGCACTTGTGTGACTAGATCTATTAGTAGTTCTTCTTCATTGGAAAATAGGATAGGAGAAATCTATTGGCAAAGTGGTAGGTAATCTTGAACGTACTCTACATAAAAATATTCTTGTGTTTGGTTTCTCAGTATAAAACTGGAAATCGGAGTTTGCTGAGATACTGATTAAAAGCATTTGCTTAATTTTGACAGGAGTAATCAATGTTTGTACTGTACTTTAACATGTTATGCAAAAGAAATTTTTTGGACTTAATAAAAAAAAAGTGACAATACTAGAAAAAGAGTTAAACTTCAAAATCTTAGGTGGAGCAGAGGATAAAAGGTTACTCCAATTGGAAGGATTCCAGACGTGTACAGTTGCTGTGTAACTTCTGTGGTTATGGTTACAAGCATTTAAGATGTGTGGTAGCAAACACGGTTCGTGCAGTTAGAGATGGACTGGAACCGTGTCGCAGAAAGGTTCTGCCTGGAGGGACCCAGGTTTCCAGATACAGCATTTATTAGAGCACTGGTTATTTTACATGTTGCTTCCATATTTTTGTTGACATCTTGTCTAGCATTACCTTGAACTTATATTTTGATTTAGTTGTATTGATTTAATGCACCAATGAAAGAGAAGAATTGAGTATGTCTTTGCAGTATTTTTAAATGTACTGTATTTGTGTGGTACTCAAATTGCAATCAGTTAAGCTGAGTTATGCTCAGGTAAACTGCTATACTTGAATACTGTTCATAAATAGTTTTTATTGATACCTACATGCAAAGATCTGTCATATTTTAAATTCATAGCTAGAATGGTTTATACTTGTTCTGGGCATAACTTTATGGTGGAGTAAGGGATAAATTGATGCCTTAAAAATTATTTTAAAATGAAAGCATTAATTGCAGCTATGTGGAGAACATGTTTTAATGAAATTTGTTTGTATTATGAAACTCTGACTTCTAAGAGCCTTGATTTTTGTCAACAAAGCATTCTCTGGAAGTTCAACATCTGAAATGTATGCACGTTATTGAACAATATTCATCTTATTTTAGGAAAATAGAAGACGAAGAAGTAAATAAGGACCAGATTCTGCTTGAAAAAGAAGCTGAAGTAAGATGACAGAATTCTATCCGCTTGTAATGGGAGAATTTCTATTCTTGACTTTTGGTCAAATGATTTATTTGATCTTGGCAATTTTTAAAGGGGAAAGACAGAATTTGCTAATATAAAGTTATTCAATGTGCGGTAGCTAAACAGAATTTGAAGAGGTGAGGAGGAGTCTCAAGATACTGATTTATTGGAACAAGTAGAACCTGGTAAGATGCCAGACTCGGATGTACTAATTGGCAATGGATGTAATGCACATTGTGTGGGGAAGGAGAGCCCTCCTCACATGAGTAAAGGCTCTGAAGTTAGCAATTGCAGACTGGGAAAAAGTCAGTTCAGCTCTGCAGCAAAGGAGGGAACAATAGCAGGAATTGTCGGGAATAAAGAATGAAACAGAAATTCTTATTCTGCTACTATGATAAATCCATAATGCATAGCTCCAACACTGTCTTCGTTGTCCCCATTACTAGTCTTATAGCCAAGACTAGAAAAAGTATAGTGAATAGCAAAAAGTGGGCAGAAAGGCTGAAGTGGAGACCTGAAGTAGAACCTGTCCAAAGGGAGATTAGGTTCATGTTCTTGTTGGCAAGCAGATCACAGAAAGGGGCTTATTATAATCATAGATGGCAGGATTAATAGGAATCTACTATACAAGAAATGGCTCACATTTAATGAGATTGATAGGTGGCTGATTTCAAACAAAAAAGATACATATAAGATGTAAATTGTGGAACTCAGCAGCATGGAATTTTGGGCAAAGCAAGAAATGCAGATAAGCTTAAAAATGCCAAGAGACTGAAGAGTTTTATCTTCTCCATGAATGTGCTCACTAAATACAAAGGTAGAAACTTTTTTGGTTTAGCAAGTTCAGAATTGACAGATTTCTAGAGTTTGAGAGCATATGTCAGGAGATACTGGACATGTGCATCTGGCTGCTAGGCTTTTCCACACATTTGCTAATAGCCAGCATTGGAGAGAAGTCTGAGTTAAATGGACTTTTTGGTCTGGCCTAGCACAAGCAGACTCTCAGTCTTCCACTAGTGGTCTTAGTGGCTACCCAAGCCCCAAAAGATAACTTGAGGAAAAATATAAAGGGTTGTTGTTTCAAGGAATATGAAAAAAGAATTGCATAAACATTCCACAGGTTTAACTTTTCATCTTTAAGCTTGACAGTTTAGTTTGAGCTTAAAGTATAGGAGAATGAAGGCAAAAACCCCAAAAAAATTTCACTAGTGAGGTCAACTTCTCACCTGTCAAGAGTTGGGTACAATAAAAGAATTTAAAATTAATCTTAGTAGCTGAGCTATACGATTACTCTGTGTTTAAATGTTGTAGTGCTCTAAAACTGAGTTTCAACCACTTTTAATAATGTTTGTGTCTCCTTGGATGGTTTGCCTTGCTTCCACCCAGTCATCGCTAGCAGGGGAGTTGGGAAGGAATCCTGACAATTTTTTTTTTAGTGACAGATACAGGTGCAGTTTGGAGAGATGTAAGCAAGCTTCTTTTCTTCTGGTGGTGAGCTTTGGTTAACTTTGTTCAGCACTTCAGCACCATCATTTTTATGTGTTTAACTTCAGAGAAAGCACAGATTGCTATTTAGGGATGCTTAAAAATCTCATCCCAAATTACAGTAATAAAGCCTGCTTAATTTAATCAGTAAGTTTCCAATCTCTTAAGGGATGACAAAGAGCAGTAGAAGAAGATGCCATAACCTGAGATTGTTAGCCATCAGATAAAGATAATGCAGATGTGTGTTCCCTCTTTAATATAAATAATTAACAGTGTGGTGGCAGCAGAGTCCTACTCTTAGGTGAGATTAGACTAAAGAATTCTTCTGTGCTACTTTTCCAGCTTCGTCGCATGCAGGAGATGATTGCAAGAATGCAAGCGCAGATGCAGATGCAGATGCAAAGTGGAGAAGGAGATAGCAGTGCAGTTCATGGACACCATGTATAAAGTAAGATGCTCAAATAGCTATTTAAAGGATTTTTCTTTGAACAACTCATTATTGGGGTTGGAAGTTTGAGAAAAATCTTTACAAGATGGGTTTGCACAGATTTCAATTTTAATTTTAAAGATTTAACTGCTGTTTGTGAAGTGAAATGGCTTGGAGCCAATCTAAAGGTTAGTGTGGTGGGAGGGGGGGTGGGGGTGTGTGTATTCTCAAATTTTCCAGAAAGTCAATGCAATATATGCTGGCAAGAATAGTGGAAGGAGTTTTTGAAATTGTGTAAACAGGTAATTCTCAAATGCATGATGAAGTCATTGTTTCATTGTGACTTTTAAATGTTTGCAGTTTTTTCAGGTTTCTAACTGTAAAAAGATAGCAGGTCTTAAATCATGTTTTTCCGTCTTGTTTTCAGATTACTTTATACCCTGACTTAAAGGAGACTTTCTGAGTTGAATTGCGGTGGTGTTATACCAAACAGGCTGCCTTTTGCTCATCATGTGACTTGGAGTTTGCTTAAAAGTTTAAGATGGAAATGCATTGTGGTAACTCCTGTGATATGTGTGTCATAACATGTACTCACTTGGTATTTTATATATTAAACACATTTGACTTTGTTTAGTAATTCTTATAGTGAGCTTATTTTCAATTTCCCATTGTACTAGGGATACAAATTAGACATTGAAACTTTTCTATCCTGGTAAAGTGTTAGATTACTTTTTTTTTTTTTTTTTTAATATGGCTTATTAGATCCTTGCTTTTAACTTTGTATTACATTTAGACATAAACAGCTGTCAGTCATACCTTGTTCAATGGCACTAGGGATCCCTGCAATGTTAGTTTTGTATTTTTTTTGCTGTGTTTACAGGTGTGTGTCTGTGAAACCATCAGTCCTTTCTTTGTCTCTGCTCAGTGCAGATGATTTTCTTAGCCTCTGCAAGTATCCAATTAAAATTCAAGCATGCCTTGTGTCTTAACAAAAGAAATAAGAGGAATTGCCTCTTTAAGAGGTATACTGTATTTTATATGACAGGCATTATTTCCTTTGCATTTAACCTTGAGGAATGTGTATACTTTCTTGTTTGCCTAAAATCTCCTATTGCAGATAAATTTTAAAAGTTTCTTGTAGGTCAACACAAATCAGTCCTGCTATTTTCTGGCATTACTGTAACCATATACACTTGATAAATGCTGATATTGTTAAATGAGGTAAACCCCAAAGAGTAGTTTTTTATGCATAGGCGTTTCCGATATCCAAATGCATATGAAATTGTATAATTCCTAATGAATATTTTCATACTATTTTTAGGGCATTGCAAACTGTTAATTATAGTATAAAATATATCTAGCACACTTCTCTGTTTTTTTAAAGTGATCTGTGCCTAACAAGATCAATGCAAACTGTATTTTAAGGTCTTGCTCCGAGGTGGAGTTAGCAGTATTACTTTGGAAGTGACTCTGATAAAGTTACACTGGTTTTTTGGGTTTGTCTTTTTTAAGGCCAAGGTCACTTTCCTTAACACTGATAATAAAGGAGACTGTTTTTTAGCATGGCTGGACTTCTACTACTTATGGTATCTGGTATTGTATTTGCAGTACATAAAAACAGCTCTAGTATACAGCTACAGGGGTGGGAGCTGGTAGGGTCAGCACTAATACACCGGGGTTGGTTTTTCTACTACTTCTGATAAAGCCAGCAACCAGATTTCCTAATCTGATCTGTTCCAAAACATTGTTATCTAAATAGCTGATAAATAGATAGAATAGCAACTTTTTTTCTCTTCTTTGAGCTCAGGTGCAGCTGTGACTTTTAAATTTTTTTTTAATGTTTCTTTAAAAAAAAATATAGGATTTCTACAGCTAATGTATAATTCCAATGGTACTTAAGTGGATTAAATATCAACCTGCCAAGCAACTGAAATTCTTACCTGCCTGAAACTACTGTTTATGAATTGTTTTATATTTGAGTCTTTTTAAAAATGTGAAGTAAAATCCTGCAATTGCAGCTTTTGCAAGGGACCTCCAGTTTTCTTCTCAAAAGCAATTACGGTCAAGTTTTGCACAACTCATCTGACCTTCCCTAAATCTTGACAAAAGTGAAAATGAGAACCTTTTTGTATGTCGAGATGCACAGAAGTTTTAAGTCCCGTTTTGTCAAATATTTGCATATAAAGCTTAGATGGAAAAATTTGCAGTTCTAAGTTCTCGTCTTGCTTTTTGGAAAGAATGTGTAGAGGGATAGCAATGTGGCAGTACTCTCAAAAAACATACCACGTCATTTATTTCTAAATCTTTTGATATATTTTTGTGGATCAGTTGTCATAAATTTACCAAAAGAACTATAGACTTAAGTCATCGAATACTTTGTGAAGTCCCATGCTGTCCTTCAGTTGCCACAATCTGGTCTGGTTCTGTTGGGTTTTTTTTCCCTGATAATACAGAGTTTGTCTACTGTTAAGCTCTTTGTCTGCTTTCTCCCTGTTAAACATGTTGTGCTTCAGACACTGGCCTCTTTGCCAAGCAGAGCAACTCTGGAACATTGTGTTTTCACCTATAAGCTCAGTAGGGTATGGTGAGCTGCAATAGTACTGTGAACCCGTACTTGAAAAAAAAACTGTGAAATCTAAAGGGGGGACTGGTTGTACATGTAACTATCTCCATGTATGTTGGTTTGATAGCTTTTTCCTTTATTTTCTAACATGGGAACAGAAGCAGATTGTCCGTGCATTTAGTGCTGTTTGGTTACTACCTGTGGAATTATTTTAAGCAATGTCTTATTCTTTGAAATATCACGTATCTATTAAAATATTTGATCAGGATAAAATACTCTGTTTGATTCTTAGGCAAATGATTTTTGATCTACAAATTCTAGCAGGAGAAATATTTCCATATTTGTTTTGTTTGATTTTTTTATAGTAAAAAGCAAGTTGATAGCACTTGCCATTTTAACTGAAATATTTAAGACACCTGACTGCTGCTTCTTCCCAAGTCTTTGGGGCAGTGATTCATAGTATGCCTGGTGTATCTGAAGGTCTATTTCCCCTTCACTTTTCTTGTGATGGTTTCATGGTAAGACATGAAAAGTGAGACTACCTTTCTGAGATTCTATTTTAGACAAACTCAACTACTGGTAGAAGAAAGACTTGGAGACAAAAGGTAGATGTTATTTGGTGGCCTGCTGAACTGGCCACAATTCTTTTCCTGTGACAGCACTGTAACTTTTTTTTTTACTTTATCTTAACAGTGAAAATACTTTTGAATTTGCAGAGCTTTCTAGTTGGTAGCAAAAATTACTTGCTTTTGGTACAAAAATCTGTTATATTCTGTTTTATGTACTGCCATTAGCCAAAACTATAATAAAAATGCTAAAATACATTTCTTCTTTTTTTTTTTTGTTTTGTATGATTCCTCATTATAATCAACCTGGCAATATTATTAATTTGTGGTGTTATAACTATAAAGGAGAAATGCAGATGTGGTTGAAAGAACACATTGATGAACCTGCATAAAATTGATACAGTGCCTTTTCCTATGGGTGTTCCCAGAGCTGCTAAAGTCCTACCTATGGGATCTTGCTTTTTCAGCAACTCTCACCAAACTTGCAAGTCCCTTAATTATTATTCTAACATAGAATGAAGGTACTTCTTGTTAGGTGGTGCTTTAAGTGTTAAGAGTCATTGTTTTCTCCAGTGACTCGTGCTTCATCTCTGGAGAGACTGAAAGGGTGTTTGATCTTTGTTCTGGATATTCCAATGTAATTTAGGGGTCATCTTCCTCTGAAGTGACTTCTGTGACCCCTATGGCTATTACAGATTAAGAGCACCAAGTTGAGTCCTTGGTTTTGGATTCTTGAGCTAACTTAATACCCAGAGGATTTTATTACAGCACTTCAAGTTTGGAAGGTATCGCTTTTGCATGTGCCGTGGTACATGCTTTGGGTTGCTGCATTGAATTGCTTTGCACTGCTGGGAGGCACACATTACACTGTCAGACTGTTCCATGGGGGAAAAACCCGTGCATGTCATCCTTAAGATACGGTTTTAAACTATGTTTGTGTTTCATTTATGTGAAGTATTGAGTGTGGAACTGGTACATTAAAGGAAGATTCATCTCTAGGGTAGCATGAGAGAAGAGGCAAGGAAGCGTCCTGACTATGTCAGACCCGCTTTTTGAGAGAAGCCTTTTTGTATGTACTGATTGCATTTTATTTCAGAATGGCATCCTTTCTATCCAGTTCTGGAAAGGAGTGCTGGAAAAGAATTGCACTAAGAGTTGCACAATGGAATAATTACAAAGTTATTGTAAAAAATCATCCAGATGTGTTAGTTCTGTGCACATAAACAGAAAGAATGGTAATTGGGGATGAGGACTGAAATAGCATGTCAAAACTGTCGGGTAAAACATCTCACAAAATTGTGTAAACGTATTGTAAGCTTTCTATTCAGAAATGTGTGGATTAGTGTCAACTAATCCACAAACCTTTTTATTATGCACTCATATGTAGGAAAAAAAAAAGGAAGATTGGGATTGAAAAAAAAAGTTGCTGTATTTTAGTATAAGTATTAAAATAATGATAAACCTAATTATCCATGTTGAAAATGTCCTTTGTACATTGTTTTGCTATTAACAGTGCTAGAAGGAATGTTTTATTTTGCTTTAAATCTACTTAATGTACCCAAGCCATCACATTATTTTGGAGGAATTGCAGTGTGTTGTTAGCATATGGCTATGCAGATAAACTCCTAGGGTTTTTATCCTAGGGATTTTATATGCAGTAGCATAATACAGCTGACTGTATTTGGATGCAGATTTTCCATATAACTATGGATGTGTATCTTTTTTAACCTTTTTCTTTGAATGCATTTCTCATCCAATTTATGCCTGCACTTCAATGAATATTTCTGTTCCTTTTTGCCCGCTCATACCATTCTTCAACATACTTAGCATTTATTTTCTTCTGATTGTCTCTGTGTTATTCAGTAATTTTTTTTTCTTCTGTCTTTGAACTCCTGCCTTTTCTTTGCTTCTTCCATTTGGTGTCCTGCAAATTCCCAGAACTTTTCTCGTATTTCATCCACACCTTTGGGGAAACGTTCTTGTAGGTTCCACTTGTCCCAGTTAGTGACAGTGGGCTGTCCACAGGAGTGTTCCCTTTTCTGAACAGAGTAGTTGGAGCTTACTCCCTGGCCACCTTGGCTCTTGGGCAAAGAATGAGGAGGGAGATTGTTTAGACCCTCTTGTGTACCTGTTCCAGGTCATTCTGAATATTAGGATGGCTGGGACAGAGATCAGATTTACACTGCTTGCTCCTGGACCTTCTGTTCAGTTGACACCTGTGGATGAATTAGTCATACGTCTGTCTCTCTTCATAAACACTCTGATGACCTCAGAGTAAAGTGACTGAGAAGAGGGCTGTCTTGTGATGCTAGAAGAAAAGAATGCTTGGCATTTCATTAACAAATTCTGCCAAAAAGGACTATATTCGGCCTTTCTCTTAAAATGCACTTGCAGTTTACTATCCTGGGCAGCAGCATCAAAAAGTAGTGCAAAAAGGGATGGATTTTTTTTATTTATTTATCTTCTACAAAAGCTGGAAATTAGTAGAAACAAGACTCTGAAACAGAGGAGATTCCCACCTCGGTTGTAACTTTAATGTCAGAGGGTATGAACACAGAGAAGCGTCTTGTTCCCAGGTAAGTAACTTCCACCACCAGGGTCCTGCCTGTCGAGCAGCCGAGCAGGCTTATAGAATCATAGAGTCATAGAATTGCCCAGGCTGGAAGGGACCTCCAAAGGTCATCTAGTCCGACCCCCCCGTAGTCAGCAGGGACACCCCCAACTAGACCAGGTTGCCCAGGGCCTCGTCGAGCCTCTCCTTGAATATCTCCGGGGATGGGGCCTCAACCACCTCCCTGGGCAACCTGTTCCAGTGCTCCACCACCCTCACAGTGAAGAACCCTCTCCTCATCTCCAGTCTAAATCTGTTCCCCTCCAGCTTGAAGCCATTGCCCCTCGTCCTGTCACTGCAGGCCTTTCTAAACAGGCTCTCCCCAGCCTTCCTGTAGGCCCCTTCAGGTACTGGAAGGCTGCTATTAGGTCTCCCCGGAGCCTCCTCTTCTCCAGGCTGAACAACCCCAGCTCCCTCAGCCTGTCCTCGTAGCAGAGGTGCTCCATCCCCCTGATCATCCTTGTGGCCCTCCTCTGGACCCTCTCCATCAGGTCCATGTCCTTCTTATATTGAGGGCTCCAGACCTGCACACAATACTCCAGGTGAGGTCTCACCAGAGCAGAGTAAAGTGGCAGAATCCCCTCTCTGGACCTGCTGGCAATGCATCTCTTGATGCAGCCCAGGATGGGATTGGCCTTCTGGGCTGCAAGTGCCCACTGCCTGCTCGTGTCCAGCTTCTCATCCACCAGCACCCCCAAGTCCCTTTCCTCGGGGCTGCTTTCCAATACCTCACCCCCCAGTCTGTACTGATGGTGAGGATTGTTCCAGCCCAGGTGCAGAACCTTGCATTTGCTCTTGTTGAACCTCATGAGGTTCACCTGGGCCCACCTCTCCAGCCTGTCCAGGTCCTTTTGGATGACATCCCGTCCCTCTGGCGTATCGACAACACCACACAGCTTGGTATCGTCCGCAAACTTGCTGATGGTGCCTTTAATCTCCCTGTCTATATCATTGATAAAAATGTTAAACAGCACCAGCCCCAGCACTTGTGACTGGTTTCCATCTGGACTTTGAGCTTGTGTGGGTGTTTCTGAGTGTCTGGGATGGACATGGCTCGGCACCCTCATGTCTCTGTTTCATTGACAACTCCAGGGCATTTCTGCTGGTTTCTCTTGCTTCTGTGCCCCAGAGGATTTCCCATGGGGATTTTGCTAGCTTGTTTCACTGGTTTTAGTGGTTAAAAAACCAAGTGAACAAAATATCTGCTAACTCCTGTTTCTGTGTATAGAAAAATGAAAAATGTCACATTTTCTGCATTTTTCTGGACACCTAGTAGTAGATCCTGAAATGCTGCATGCTTTATGGAAATATCTGAAATAGAGGGCAAACGAGGTTGTTAACTGACAGCCTGGGGGATGTACAGGAACATAATCCATGAAGGATTTGGGAAGAATTGAAACTGTTGGCTTGGGAAGACATTGTTCTGGAATTCAGTACAAAACTCCATGAAATTACATGATCTTCCATCTTTGCTGTTTTCCCAACGTTGTCTGTGGAGCAGAGCACAAAGAGCTGAACACCGGGCTCCTGCGGGCAGACGGTGGGAGAAAGCCAGAAGGACACGCTTCAAGGGATTCCCGTGGCTGGAAGAAAGGTTTCATTGGGGTGATTAAAACACTTTGCAGTTCAACTTGCTGTAGAGCTTTTCCCCCAGCGCGTTCAGCCAAGTCAGATTTGGTGCAATTCTGGGTCAAGCCCAGCACCTGGGAACGGAGGGAGGATGAGGAGGGAGAATACATTTGCCGAAGGAGCGGTTCGAGGGCCGGCTTCGTGGCCCCGGCAGCCCAGCCGGGGCAGGATCATAGAATCATAGAACGGTCCAGGCCGGAAGGGACCTCCAAAGGCCATCTAGTCCGACCCCCCCGCAGTCAGCAGGGACACCCCCAACTAGACCAGGTTGCCCAGGGCCTCATCGAGCCTCTCCTTGAATATCTCCAGGGATGGGGCCTCAACCACCTCCCTGGGCAACCTGTTCCAGTGCTCCACCACCCTCACAGTGAAGAACCCTCTCCTCATCTCCAGTCTAAATCTGTTCCCCTCCAGCTTGAAGCCATTGCCCCTCGTCCTGTCACTGCAGGCCTTTCTAAACAGGTTCTCCCCAGCCTTCCTGTAGGCTCCCTTCAGGTACTGGAAGGCTGCTATTAGGTCTCCCCGGAGCCTCCTCTTCTTCAGGCTGAACAACCCCAGCTCCCTCAGCCTGTCCTCGTAGCAGAGGTGCTCCATCCCCCTGATCATCCTTGTGGCCCTCCTCTGGACCCTCTCCATCAGGTCCATGTCCTTCTTATATTGAGGGCTCCAGACCTGCCTGGATTGCCTGGGTCTGGCTGGTAGCCACCTCAGGGTGTGTCAGAGCCCCGGGTGTGCTGGGGAGTTTCTGCAGTGTTTACCAAGGCGAGATCTTCTGATGTAGCTGTACGTTTGCAAGTTTGGTTTCGGTGCTTGAAATGCAACAGACGAATGAAGCTGACTTCCACCCACAGGAATGAGAGCCTGTCAGTCTGGCGAGACAGGGAAGGTGTCCGGCCATCTCAGACAGAGAACAACATGCTTTTCGGAAAGTACCTCTGGCTAGAGCAGAGGCGGCCCTGCAGACAGCCTGGTGGCTGGTAAGGAACAGGTCCCACCAGGCAAGAAGCGCAGTGCTTTG